GGCCAGCTGGGAGCCAGGGCTCGGCGTTATTAGAAAGGGCGGAAGAGAAGCCATCTCATCTTCAACCACAGCCACCTTACTAGTGAAAAATAAAAACTAAAAAGCCAAGGAGAAACCCTGCCATTTAACCCAGAGATGACACAAAACTTCTTATCTTACCCCGAAGTCTAATTCTGCTAATTTATCCTTCCCGCCCCAGCCAATCCCCAAAAGCAAGACCAGTATTTTCAAATGGAAAATTCGCATATAAATGAGGAGATGCAGTCTTACATTGGAGGGACAAGAAAGAACGAAGCAAATACCCTCTGTTTTCCACCACAAACCTTTCTGGGTTGATACTTCCCTGTGTGTCATCCCATTGTTTTAGCCAAACCATTGACTGAATTTGACCCAGAAGGCGAATTCCTCCACAATTCCCTTCTCCACCAAACGTTCCCCTCGGAAAGCAGCCCCAGCCCACCCCATGGACCCAGCGGGCAGGAGCAGGAGGTCCCGATGCGACAGAAGCAAGAAGTGAGGTTGCAGCCTGCAGTGCCAGCCCTGCTGGGTACGTCAGCACGGGTGGCATTACTGCTCGTGCTGGGGCTGCTGCTGCTTGCAGGGTTTTGGAGGCCTTTCTGCACCCTCACCAAGCCACTCGCACCACAGAGCCCACAGGGCTGCTGCGCAGCCTGGCAGAGCTTTGCCGGCGCTGGTGATGCATTTTCGCCCTCGCACGTGTGTCCCCATGGCTCTGCTACTCATTTCTTCTCCAGAAGGCAACTGGCCTGCAAAGCCCCAGAACTCCCAGAGTACAAGAGAATGGCATTAACCATTCTCCTCTTTTTAGTGCTCCAAGTCCAAGGTGTCAGCCAAGGCAATGAGAAAAGGGATGAGCCTGAGGAGGAGCTCGGACAATCACCAGTGGCTGCCCTCAGGGACGTGGCAGCAGCAATGCTAAGGACCTGAGAGAAACCCCTGGCAAGGCAACCACAGAATCTGCCTTGTGAGACAGCAAACACGGTCTCAGCACAAGGTCAGACATCACCTACCTGACCTCTGCACCCCCTCATTGTGCCCCCCCAGGTAAATATTTCTCCTCATCCTCAAGCAGACTGTCCGAGCTATCAGAGAAGAAGTCCTCCAGATCCTGTTGCCTCATCTTGGACTCCAGAACAGTGATGCGCTGCTTGAGCTTCATCTGGGTATCGTTGTACTCTGTCAGGAGCCGGCCCAAGCGGGTGTGCAGTGTGTCCAGGTTCAAGTCCAGCCTGTCCAGCCTCTCCTCCATGCTAACCTCTTCTGTGCTTGCCTCTGCAGCTGACTCATCCAGCAGCCCTTCCTTGATCAGGATCTCTCGGCCCCGCTCCTCCAAGACCTTTTTGGCATCAGGGTACTCTCTGACTGCTTCCATAAGATCTTCCTTTGACAGGCAGAAGAGATCAGAGTAGCCCAAGCTACGGATGCTGGCTGTGCGCCTGTTGCCCATTTTGCTCCCTTTAATGTTGAGGATGCTGATCTCCCCAAAGCAACCTCCTGCAGTGAGCAAAGCATACTGTGTTGTTCCATCCTCGGCCACCACGGCCAGCTTCCCCTCCTTGATGATATACATCTCTTTCCCAATGTCTCCTTTCCGGCAAACGTAATCCCCTGGACTGAACACCTGAAGGCGAAGCTTCAGCACCAGCTCCACCAGTAGACCTGCCTCACAGTCCTGGAAAATCTTCACCTTCTTCAGTGTCTCCAAGTGAACGTTGATGGCAATCTCTGCCCTCAACTTATCAGGGAGATTCTTGAGGACCTCCTGCTCATCTACTGCCTTCTTGTTGGTCCACAGGTAGTCAAACCACTTGATGACTTTGGTTTCCATGTCTTTGCTCACCTTGCGGAACTGCATGTAGTGTTTGACGGCATCAATTTTCGCTTGGAACTCTGTCCTGGTGGCATTCATGTTGGATATCATGGATCCCACGTTCCCCACAATGGTGGCAAAGATGAGGACACCGACGAGGAAATCAAAGATCACAAAGAGGTATTCTTCATCACGCACAGGGGGAGGGGTTTCTCCGATGGTAGTCAAAGTCAGTGTAGACCAGTAGAAACAGTAGATGTACTCCCGGGTCAGATACCCATACTCAGGGTCTGTGACGTTGGGGTAAACCCAGGTGTCCTCCCCAAAACCTATGGCCTTGGAGATGGCATAATAAATGCATGCATTCCAATGGATGATGACCAGGATGTAAAGAACCAAGTTGCTGATGCGGAAGAGGTTGGGGTGGCTGGTCCTGGTCTCAGTCCTGTTGAAGAACTCAAACATGCGGGAGAAGCGCAGCAGCCTGTTGAAACGCAATTCAGGGCGGTGCAATCCCACAGCAAGGTATGCCAGGTCTGTGGGCAGGATGGAGAGAACATCCAGCTTGAACTGTAAGGTGTGGACGTAGTTATCCCGTAACTTCTTCCAGTCCTTAACCAGGAGGCCCTCTTCCAAGAAACCTAACAGAGGACCGAACAACAGGATTATCTTGGCTTATGTTCAACTCTTCTGCAGGGTTTGTCAGCACTTATGAGAAACATTTTATGGTATGCCATGCATATGGGTGCATACACACACAGGGTCATCCAAATATTAGCAGTTCCACCTGATCTACTCAGTTTACAAGCTTTTGGTGTTGCTCAAGCCCTGCTTCTGGCAAAAGCCATCTAAAGAGAGCACTTAGGGATTTACTCTGTTGCCACAAAGAAATGGGGGCACAAAAGTTTCCATCCTCTAGATCATGAATTATTGCAGCTCCGACAGAAAACGTATAGCCATCTGCTGCGTTCCGAGAACATTAAATTCTACCATTTTCCTGTGTAGATAATTCATTAGCTGAACTGATGCAAAATCAGAGATACAGACCTTCCACTATGCCCGAATACTAATAGTAATGCAGGTAATTTTGTACAATTATTCAAAGGTGAAGTTGAAAGCTGGGATGATTAATCTTTCATTCTGAAACTTTCTCTGTTTCTCAGATCTTTTAATTAGATTCTTCCTCTGGAGACTGCTTCATACTAGCGAGTGCCAAGGTAGACAAAACCCTCCCTCTAACAGAGCTGTAGATTCAGCCTCTCCCTTGCAGCTCACCTCCACTTTTCGGCAATTAAAGCCCAGCACTCACTAGCCAGGATGCTGCTTTTGCTTACCCGTGCGCAGGCGGATCACCATGTCCCCAATGTAGATAGCGTCTGAGATGTAGTCTAACACCAGCCAGAGGACGAGGTAAATCTTCTGCAGGTCACTAAAGCAAGCCCTGGAGGAAGGTCATAAAACAGGGTGGTGAGACCCACAAATATCCTTATCATCTCCCACTATCTCAGCTGAATATAGGCTGATTCGGAGGGTCCTAACTCCAACAGAGCTCGGCCACTTGTCCTTCTTCTCCCAGAAATTAAAACCCTCTTCTCTGAAAAATCTGCCCTCCCTTGACCTAGGCAAAGCAACATCTTGAAACCACCTCCCAGATGCACCTAGCAGCTCTACCCCAAAATCACAGTCTGACTTTGTGCCACACAAGTCACAGTGACAGCTGGGGGTCCCTTTCCTTTAGGTTCCCAGCACCACCAGTGTCACGTGGCTGATCCTGGCTGAGCCATCACCACCAGGTAAACAGGAGGATTAGAGGAACCAGGAACCCTCCAACCTCCCAGCTCACCTGGCTACAAGCAGGCACCAGTTATAGAGGACAGGAACTGCAATGACAGCCAGCCAGCGGTAATACCAGTCCCCTGCGGGGTCCACCACACAGATCTGCCATTTCTTCCTGGAAGCAGAGAAAAGCCAGAGCTGGAAGTGCATGAATAAAGGGCTAAACATGGAGAACAGGGTTGGAAGGAACCATCCGAGCCACATCCCTCATCCCTTGTGCTAGACGGGCTCAAACATAGCTGCAGCTTGAGTGCCAGCCTGTAAGCTAAAATCAATTCCAGCAGTGCCGAGCAAATGTCCAGCACTGTTTAAGCTCCTTTATCCCCAAAACCGGGCTCAGTAATGTACCAAGAAAGGAAACTGTAGGGCACGAAGGCAGAGCAGGTGCCCTATGTGCACACAGCATCTGGTGGCAGAGCCAGAAACGGGTGTGTGAAAGAGGGTGATCAGAACACTTCTCATTAAATGACATTGCCTCTCCCAGATGAAGTATGGATTGGTGCCAGACACATCTTAAGAGAAGATTAATTAGAGCAGGAAGGAAAAGCGTGCTGCAGATCGGTGGGAGCACCAGGAGGGGATGCCCAAGCCCCAGAGCGGCGACCCGGGGGGCAGCTGGCAATGCGAGGCTGCCATCGCTATGCTGCTCGCAGCTGCCTCCCCGCAGTCTGCTCAGCCCTGGGCCCAGCCTCGGAACTGCACCCAAGTGTTTGATCCTGCTCATCTTGGGACTCCGAGATAAGATGCATGTTCTCCAGTTGCCAGATCTCACTGGAGAAGCCGGGGAAGAGAAACTCTGCGGCTGGGCTGATAGCCTTAGCTGCTGCAGCTTGGTAGGGCAAAACTCCCTCTCCCCCTCCCTTCTTTCCAGCTTTTGAACATGCAAAACTCCCTCCAGTGACAGGAAAAAAACAACCCACTTGCCAGCAGATTCCCCGTGCCCACCCCACTGCTTCTGACAGCTTCAAAGGCAAAACCTCTGCCTTGAAGTTTCGTTCCTGGAGGCACAGGCAGCGTCACCGGCAGGGCCCGGAGCATGCGGACCGGCACTCGGCACAGAGCCAGCAGCGGTCCCGCACCTTCGCTCTGGGGACAGCCGCAGACAAGCGGATGGTCCCACCTCCCCATTCGAAGTGCTTCTCTTCTGCTCAGAAAGCGCGACTTGAACGCTGTTTGAGAAAGGGACCCTCGGCTCCCTGGGACACACAGCACTGCCGCACGGGAAGCACTGACTCACCTGCAGCCAGCCAGTACTGTAGTAACACCCACAGGTGCTAATAACCTCAATAACCGCGTTAATTACATCACTAATTTCAGCTTTAAATCAGCGCTGCCCATGGCAGGTGACCAGAGTCACTGACATTACACTGACAGCGGGGCCAGGGCTGGAAAACCAGGGCTCCAGGTTAACCCAGGAAGGGGGAATAATCATCCCTCTTCCAGAGCTGGCAACCGTGGGTGCTCCCAGGGAGCGGCTCACGTTTGGAGTTACCAGATTTGGGGCTGTGGAGCTGAGGACCTAGAGAACAGCGGAGCTACCAGCATCTCTTACCAGCATCTCCCCAGGAGCCCACCGGCAGCGAGCAGCCCTTCACGGCGCGCTTCAGCTCCCCCCGATAATTAAAAACTTCCCCTTAACCTGGCAGGGCAGAACATTTTTTTTCCACAATTAGTAAAGACCCAGATACAAGGCTCAGATATTTTTCTCCTACAGAAAACAATCTTTTTAGGTGTTTTAATTACCATGTATAATAGTAGGGTCCAGTGTAGTCCCTGAGCTTTGCCCTTTAATTAGGCAGCAGAAGAAAAGCCAGGTTATTGCTTTTCACCGGGAGTGTGAGCTGAGGAGATGAAAGGGCTGGATTTGAAAGAGACTTTTCAGAAAGCTGCCGTCACAGTGTCTGCTCTTGGCGGGGGGGACATGGGCAGCAAACACAGTCCCTTCATCTCCCTTCATCCTGCCCATGAGGAGACTGGCAAATCCCCCATGTCTGTGGCTGCTGTGGTTTCCTGGGTGGAGACCCTGCATCCCTGGGCTCATCCCCGCTCCTCGTACGCACAAGCCGAAGGGGCATCTCTTGACAGACCCCAACCCTCGTGTTGGACTGCCCTGCAAACGGGGAGCTCTGCTAGCTGCCACGAGCCATGCTATGTGTGTTTCCTACCCAGGCGTGGACCCGGGGAGACAAGACCCAGGTGAGGAACAGGCCAAGTCTTTTCCACCGGATCAGACCACCAGGTCCTGTGTGCCTGCCTAACAGCCCGGCAAAGCCAGGCTGGCTGCCAGGACAGGGGCTGGAGAGGGCAGGGAGGACCCTTTCCACCACTGCATCCTACCTCCCCCTTTCCATCCCCATCCACCCCCCAAGCCGTCACTGCTGGGAGCTCCTGAGCACCGTGCACGACTGATATCTAGCCAAGGCTGGCCTGGGGACACAGACAGGGGACCCTACTTTTTGTTTTCCTCCTCGGTCTCCTCGTCCTCTAGATCACCGCCTGCAGCCAATGTCTGGAGCTCGGGGCCCTGGAAGCGCTCGAGGAAAGGGTCTGGCCTTTGCTGCTCCTCATGCAAGCTCTTGCTGGCCCAGTCCCTCAGCACCAGCACCAGCCGGACTATCCTGGACAGGGGAGAGAAGCAGGGTCAGGAGGTGTCTGCAAAGCAAGGAGAAAGCAGAAGTTTTAAAGCAAACGGTGGGACTACAGCTGACAAGAAACCTCTTGCAACTCCTTCTCAAGCCCAAACATTTCCTTTTTCCCCTCCTTGAAGTGATGGACTGGGACCAAGAATATATGAGCAAGAGAGCCCACTCTGGCAGCATCGCACAACTCCTTCCTCAATCCGGCTACCATTCCCACAGGGACATGATGCACAGGTACCTGGCCAAGGCTCCCCTGCCTCGGAAAGCGGAGGCAGCTGGCTGCTCCCCCCCATCTGGGGGAACCTCTCTTCGCAGGTCTGAGGAAGTCTCATCCTGGGTTGAGCAGGCCCTGCAGTGGGGAAGAGGAGGGGTCACAGCCACACCGTGCCATCGTGGTACCTGCCGACAGACGGGTGAGCTGGAGGAAGCAGGCAGCTGAGGTTTCGCAGCCCCGCTCACGCCAGCTCTGGGCAGACACACCGAGCTGGCCTTCCCCCATCTGCCGCCCTCAACAAACCAGGGACCGGGCTAACCTCCTGGCACTGACCCCCGCCCCCTCCACATCACCCTCTGCTTGGGTTTGGGTGGGTGGACAGGGGTGGCAGTTGTCCGGTGAGTTGTGCAGACCATTACTCTTGGTTGTCATCCTCCATGTGAAGAGGCCACGAGCACACAGCCTGCCCCAGAGACCTGCAAAAAGCAGAAAACAGCCACAAAAAGGGCCATGCAGGACACACCACATGGTTTGAACACAGAGATTCAGCACAACGTGAGAAGAGAGAGGGTCAAACCCCATGGGCTGTGCCCACCGCATGTTTTCCACCACCAGCCATCACCGATGCTGCAGTAAGAGTCCTCCAGAGCGTTTCACCCTCCCCAAGAGATCCCACGGCTGCCTGTGGCCCACGGAAGATGCTTTGCGCATCATTCAGGCTCC